AATGAGCAAGGTATCCTATGCTTGATCCCTCCCAACCTACCCCCCTCCCCCCCCCCACACACTTTTACTTTTTAAGAAATATTCACTTCATTTACTCAACACATATTTAATTTCTGCTAGATACCTAGGACAGTGCTTGTAGTCAGGAAGATGAAAGCAGAGCTCCTTGTTCACAGCCTATGAGGAGAAATAGACCTGAGTTTATAATTAATTTAAGTACATAGAGAGGAATTTAAAACATAGTAGGAAAAGCATCTGACTTCTTCAGATAGAGATCGCTTGACAGAATAGGATCATGACATATGAGAGATAGTTCATTCACATTCCACAAATATTTGACTATGTAATTGCTTTGGGACAGGTAAAATACTGGCCATTGAAAACAAACATGATATAAGACAAAAGTCTATTTTTAAAAAAAAATTGGTTTCAGAGAGGAAGGGAAAGGAGAGATAGAAACATCAATGATGAGAGAGAATCATTGATTGGCTGCCACCTGCACACCCCCTATTGGGGATTGAGCCTGCAACACAGGTATGTACCCTTGACTGGAATTGAACATGGGACCTTTCCGTCCAAAGGCCGACGCTCTATCCACTGAGCCAAACCGGTTTTGGCCAACACAGGTGTTTACATTATGATTCATAACAGTAGAAAAATTACAGTTATGAAGTAGCAACGAAAATAATTTTATGGTTGGGGGCCACCACAACATGAGGAGCTGTATTAAAGGGTCGAGGCATTAGGAGGGTTGAGAACCACTGGTCTAGAGAATTTACCTGGTGAACCATATACATTTGGCACTTCGGGGGTCTGTGTAGATAGAATAGATGGTTGCTATCAATCTTGTGGTTACTGGTCTATTTAGAGATTCTGGGGTCAGTTCTTTGTAACATATTGTGCTAGAAAATGGACCTTTTACAATCAGGTTTAAATGTCATCCCCTTCTCCCCCGCTGAGCTTTGGAAATGCCCAGAGTATTTAAAAACGAACTTATTTTGGCGATGTCGTCTTCCAGTCTGTCACTGGAAACATTTTCAATGCTTCTCAGTGTGGCCATGAGCCCCTTTGCTTGCCCCTTTCTTTCCTCCGTCCCTTTGTACAGATACGATGGGCGAGAGAAAGGGCCCCAGCAGGCCGAGCTGCCTGTTTTGCTCAGCTGTGTTTTCTCCCCATAGAGTTGGCTGCCCTCCTGGCCCCCTCTCCCTGGGAGGTGCTGAGCTCCTGTCCTGCTCAGAATCCGGACGTTCTAGGCTGTCACACTGTAATCATTTAGCTTTTGTGTGTAGGACTAGCTGGAGAAGATTGTTAACATAGTGAGTTAAAAGGATATTTCAGCTGAGCTACTTTTTTTTTTTTTTTTTTTTGGTGTGTGAGTGTGACTTGACAGCCTTTCCCTGGGTCTCATGCTCTGGGTCAATTGATAACCATGCACTGCCTCTCCCAAAAGAAATGTGCCAGGCTGGCTGGTCTCTCAGGTAAATTCCTTTCAATTACCCCAATCTCTTGTTAAACCCACGATTTCACCTACTTCGTGCCTGTACAGATGCAGGAGAAAAGTTACTACCATGCATCAATTGCATATACAAATTTTCATGAAAACCTCTTTACTAAGGAGATTTATTCAGCTTCTTTTAAATGGAAGATTCAAGGAACAGAGTTTGTGATGTGTAGAGGAAGGGAAACAAGCAAAAGAACAACAACATCAACTCCCCCCTCCCCCCCTGCCAACATGCCTACCTATACCTTCAGCATATAGGAGAGCTGAGGTCATACTGCAAAGGAAGATGTAAATTGAGGTTCAATAAACTTTGTCTGTAGTTACAGCCCCTAATCCAGTGCTTCCCAAACTGTGTTTCTGGAGATTATAACTCTTCACTAAGCCCTCTGTGGGGCAAGAGTTCTGTGGTCAAATCAATTTAGCAAAAATTGACTACTTTGTCCTCTTCTTGGGAGATTCATAACACACTTCATTTACGTAATCATTCAACAAATATTTAATGAGTTTTTTATGTGCTAGGCTCTAGGCCATCTTCCAAGAGAATAATGAACAACCACAAAAAAAGCTCAGTTGTTGCTTTCATGGGTGCTGAACTCTAACCGGGGCATAAACATTAATCAAACAGTCAAACAAATAATGTCTAATTAAAGACTCAGGTAAGCCGAAACCGGTTTGGCTCAGTGGATAGAGCGTCGGCTTGGGGACTGAAGGGTCCCGGGTTCATTCCGGTCAAGGGCATCTACCTTGGTTGCGAGCATATCCCCAGTAGGGGGTGTGCAAGAGGCAGCTGATCGATAACTCTCTCCCATCGATGTTTCTAACTCTCTATCTCTCTCCCTTCCTCTCTGTACAAAATCAATAAAAAACATATTTAAAAAAAAGACCCAGGTAAGTTATCTATCCATATACAAAACCCTAATATGCAGATAGACCCATGTTGAAACAACCGAACAACTGGGTGCTATGACATGCATTGACCATCAGGGGGCGCACGTGGAATACTGTGGGCTTCGGTTGTGGCGGGATGGTAAAGCAGGTGAGGGGTGGGGGAGCCAGACACAGGAAGGCACTCCAACCAACAAGCTACAACTTAATAACTTAATGGTTTCCTAACTTTGGCAGTAAAAAAAAAAAAAGTGTGCAGAGCCCTGGCAGTATGGTCAGTGGGTTAAGCACCCTCCCAACTTCCCCCCCTCTCCTCCCTACCCCCGCAATCCCCCACACTCACGAATCCAAAGGTTCCTTGTCAGGGCACATGCCCAGGTTTCAGGTTTCTTCCTTGGTCAGTACCTAGCTCCCCAGGGGATCGCACTGTCTCCCCGCCCCCATTCCCCCAACTCCTCCTCCCCCTCCCCCCCTCCACACACACCTGTGTTTCGCTAAGGTCCTAGGGACTATACAATGGCTTTGAACAACTCCTAACAGAGGAGGACATTTTTGACTCACAGGTGACCCACTGCCTCAGCTGCTGATGGGATGGAGACATAGTATCCACGGGCTCCCATTGAAAGGCCCACTGGCCATATAAAACCCGGAGCAGAGGAGAGAGACCTGATGGTTAACAATTCCTCCAAACCTGCAGCCTACCTGTCCCAGGACTGTTTGCCCGTTTGTAACATGTGGGTACCACCAGACTGACGGCTGTGCAGTCTGCCGATTTAGGAAGGAGAGGGGGTGGGGCGGGGGAGGGGGTAGGGGAAGGAGGACGGAAACAACAAACCCGGCGGTGCCCTTTACCACCCCATGAAGCGGACTGTTACGCCGAGAAAAGCTAAGCCAGCCTGCCTCTTGTCGGCGGATAACAGCTCGCGGGAGGACGGACGCACTGGGCCGGCTGGAGGCTGGATAATGAGAGTAACGAGGCAATAGGTCGGCACAGATCCTGTTCCCCCGACCCTCCTCCAACCCCCTCCCCCCCCCTCCCCCGCCCCGTCCCCCTGATCTTCCTGGCTGGGGAGCAGACACCAGGGAAGCGGGGCGCGGGGTTGCGGGGCGGGTTTCCGCGCTTGGCGGAGGGGGGCTGGCTCCCGCGAGGCGGGGTCACTCGCGGAACCGGTGCTCGCACAGCCCCCCCCGCTCCCCACGGCGAGCTCAGGTTGGCGAAGGCGCAGAGGAGCGTCCCCAAGAGCTGTTGGGGCGCAGCCGTCCTCCAGGGGTCCCGGCCGTCGCCCTTCCAGACCCCGAGGCTCCCGGGCGGCGGGCGCGGACTGGTCCGCCCCGAGGAGTCCCGCAGGCGGAGCCGCAGCGGGAGCCGGCCCCGGGCCCCAAGGGAGGAGCAGGAGCAGGAGCAGGAGCGCGGAACCAGCAGGGGAGGAGAGGCTGGAAGAGGACGCGCGGAAGAAGCTGCGTAATTGTGCTCCGCAGGTAGCCGCGCGCCTCTGCAGCCCGGGACTCCCCAGCTCCGCTCCGTTCTCTTCGGGGAGAGGCGGCCGGTGTCCCTCCAGGCCTCCACCCCGAGGGCCCGGGGCACCGACCATAAGGCTCTGCATAAGCGCGGACACGATCTCTCTTCATTTCCCCCAACGTCCCTAAGCGGCGCGGGTACCGGGGAGGAGGGAATGGCTTTGGAGACTTGCGCCGGGCGTTGCAGAACCGGCCGCAGAACGAGGACTCAAGAGTCTGTGGGGGCCTCACGCCGCAGCCATGGCCTCCACTTGCCCTCCTCCCCGGTTCCTCAGCCGTGATCGATCCTGGTCCTGTCCGCCGCCTGCACCTGCCGCGGGCCTCTCCGGGTGGCAGGGGAGGAAGGAAGTACCAGAGGTTACAGGTGTGCCCTGGGGCGTGGAGACCGTTGGATGCGCGGGGGCAGCTGTGCACCTGGGAGAGGACGGCTTCCCTTCCCCAGGGATCGCTCCCCAGCAGGCGCAGGGGGTCGGGCAATGTCCCCTCCACCCTGGGGCGGCAGAGGAGACGAAGAGTCTGGGGTCCGGACTGGGCGCTGGGAGACAGGGGTGACAGGAGGCGGCAGGTGAGGGAGGGCGCCGGGCTGCGGGTGGAGCGCGTCCACGTGGTGGGTGTGTGGCTCTTCCATTCAAACTTTGGGAGCCTGGGTTCCGGGCGTCAGAGAAGGCGTGGCCAATCAGAGTCCTAAACCGGGAATAAATTATGCAAATCGCCATCTGGCGATGGGTCAGATGACTCCCGTCCTTTTTAAAAACCTACCTCGCCCGGAGTTCGCTGTGGGACCGAGGCGAGCCCGGACTTCCCTGGCGGGAGGCAGGCGCGGGCGCGGGCCAGTCTGGTTCTGGTTGAAGCCCCTTCACACTCCCTCCAGCTCAGCCAAGTCTCTCTCTCCCACCCTCTCCGCCGCCAGCCGGCCAGGGCCACCCCACCCTCTCGGGGAGAGAAGGCGCCCACCCAGGGTCTCACAGGCTCGGGCTGCTGGGAACTGCAAAGAGGGTTTTTTTGTTGTTGTTGTTGTTGTTGTTTTTTGGGGGGGTTGTTGTTGGTGTTGTTTTGTTCAAGTCCTGCTTGGCGGAGGGGTGTGTGGCGGGAAAGGATGAGGATCCCCGTCCTTCTGCTCTGCCTCTGGAGCGCCCATTGTTGCTTTGCCGCGGGAGGCCCCGCGCCCCTGGGTCCGGAGGGACCGCCGCAAGGTAACGTGCTCTGGGTTTTTATTGCCTCCAGCTTCTTGTCTGCGCCGGCGCCTCTGCCTGCAGACCCTCTTTTCGTCCAGGGCAATCCTTTCCCGCTGCGCTGTCCCTTTGCTCCTGCTGCGGAACCTGGCCGCTCACCTGTTTCTTGGCGCCTCTGACCCGGGCACGGCTGGTGGGTGCACTTGTCCTCTGGCTCCCGATGGATGGGTGCTGTCCAGTCAGCCCAACTGGCTGCCAGCTGCTCTTCAACCTTGTTCTCATCTTCGAACCTGGAGGTTTCCTAGCCAAGAGAGGTAGAAGGCGCTGCCTCCTCCTTTTAATCCAACCCTGTGGGTGTGTGGAAGGCGAGGTGGCAGGAGCCTTGGATGAGTGACTTCTTGCCCCGGATTGTCAGCTTCCTCCTCCGAACATGCCTTCCAACGCCCTCTCCTTCTCCTCCTGGCTGCCAGCTTTTCTTCCACCTCCTGAGTTCTGCAGGGCATTCTCTCCCACTAGCAGAAGGGATGAGGGGAGGGCCACCCAACAGGAGTGCCAGGGGAACCCCTAAACTGCACCCTGTTATTTCCTCTACTATTTGCTGAGGTTGGTCAAGCGATGTTGGTCCATGTCAGCCTATGTATTGGTGGGAGGGTTGATTTGAATGAATGGGCAGATGATGAATGGGAAAGTCTTGCTTTCCTTAACATGCCCCCAACTCCAGTGCTAAGTAAGCGTGTGACCTAGCGCCTCTCCTGTGGAATGTTCACGTTCCTTCCAACTTCCGCAATTCTGAGAATGTTGGGCCGTTTCATTCATCCAGAAAAGTAGTTAGTACATGTCTGCTTAGTGCCAGGCATTCTTCTAGGAGCAGGGAAAACCCCCGCCCTGGTGGAGCGTATGTTTCAGTGGTGAGAAGATAGACAGGCATCTAATTAACACATTGAGGACCAGGAGTTTTATTGCTCGCTTTGCCCAGTGGCCAGATAAGTTTCTGCTGAAAGAGTACAAAAAACGTTTTACATAAATGTGAAAGGCATGCTTTAAAATGAAATACCCATTGCACGTCGAACTTATTTATTACGTGTTCTCACAAGCTAATATCTTTTTAAAGTATGATGCGTCGTAAAACACTGTGTAATATGAAGTGGAACCAGACAAAGCTGGCAAATTCTCGAGATCTGTCCGCAATGTGTTAAAACATACAAATGGTGCTCGGTGTTACGAAAGGCATGGATGGAGTGCTGGTGGGAGAAGGTGGTATCGTTTCAATCTGTGGTCAGGCTTTCCTCTCTGAGAGTGGAGAGCAAAGGATGGAAGGAGGTGAGAGAATGAGCCACGAGGACATTTGGATGAAGAACAACCATGAAGTCCCAGAGGTTGAAGAGACCCAGGCAAAAGCTCGAGAAGTCTGGGATCAGAGACACAGCTGCAGAGGCGAATTATTTACTCATCTTTACGTTGAGGTGGGGGTTTATCCACCAACCTGTTCCAGGAAGCCAGGAGACTCCTTTGCCCTTTTCCCTAGAATTCCCCATCTGGTCTTTTGTGTGAGAGGTTATTGGGGTGGAAATTGGGGAGGTGTCAAACTAGTTATATGCATGGCTCAAGTTTCTGCCAGTCAGGGCTTTGTTCGTTAATTACAAAGCTCTGCTCATGTGTATTGAGTTGCCTTTTCTGGAACCCTATCCTTTTTACATCTGGTGCATTTTCCACCCTCTGCCCTGCCCCATTCACCACCCCCTGCTCCCCATTCTGGTCCTTCTGTCTATGATTCCATTTGCTCCCTAACTCTCCGGTAAATGAAGCTCCTGGGATGGTCCTCTGGTATCTTTCCCCCTGATTTCTGAGTGACAAGAGAGCTTGATTTTCTAATGTCTTAGCCCGATAGCAAGGGACTATTTCCTGGATGGCTGAAATCGTGTGGTGGTGCCAGCCCCCAGTGTGTGAAGGCCATCCGGGCCATCAGTGACATCAGCTGTGTTCTGGGAGCAGGGTCATCACCTTCGTGGCTCTGTGTGTGAGCAGTGGAACTGGAGAGAGCGGTTTTTCTGCTCTTAGGAGTTTCTCCTTGGCTTTAGTCATTTACGTAACAAACTAAAAAAATGCCTGGCACATGCCTGGTTTGGCAAAGGGCATGGAGGATGCATGAGGTTTTTGGAGTAGGTGCTAGAACCCAGTTGGGAACATTAGGAGAAGCCCATTGTATAACAGGTCGACAGCTTCTTACCTCCAACTTCAAACTCCACAACCTCCCACAGCTAGAGAGTTGGTTTGGTAACTTGTTTGCCTGCAAGACCTGGCCTTACCTCATTTGGCAGCAACACTGAGCTGAACTGACCAGAGGCTATTTTGTAACTTCCTTTTTGTTCTCAAGTATGAGTAGTCACATCATTTCCCTGCAGAAATATTAGTGTGCTTATGAAAGGGGAGTGGCCCAGACCCTGCTGGAGGTGTTATATAAGACATGGTGTATGTACTCTAATGCCTTTCTCAAATTTGAGCATTTCTGAATCGTGCAACTCCACTGGTTCCAAGCATTTCAGGAAAAGAATTGAGCACCCATGATCTAAAAGTAGCTCCTTGGGGGGAAGGAAGGAGAACTCCTTTGATAGGGAAGAAGAAAGACAAGCAAGAGAGACATATTTATTTCAGAGTCACAGTAATTAATAGCAGTGACTAAGTAAATACTGTGAAATGTAGACTAGATGTCCCTTTTACAATAGCTTGGCAATTTTTCTGCAAGGTGTGGAGGAAACACTCAGTAAAAATTTAGACCAGGAGGGATTAAGTAACTGACCTCAGATTGTGCTAGAGCTGTACCCCAATCTCTCATTACTTAGGCCCCCTGATTCACCCAGGCTCTGTTCTTTCTCCCCAGATGAGCTCCAGGAACCCAAGGATGTGCAGATCGCTGCCAAACCCCCTGTGAGGTTTAACCTCCGCATCTCCGAAGACCCAGAGCACGAAGGATGTTACCTCCCCCTTGGCCACAACCAGCCCCTGGAAGACTGTGGCTTCAACATGACAGCCAAAACCTTCTTCATCATTCACGGATGGGCGGTGAGCCCAGGGGATTTGGTTTCTTTTGTTTTGGTCAATTAAAAAGAATACTGGTACTTCCAGATTCCCTTCCCTCTCCCCTCCTCCCCCCTCTTTTCTTGTGGGCTGCTTGTATTTCAGACAGCTGTGAAGGATGTAATGGGCATTTCGCTGAGGGGGCTATCTGGACTCCAGCAGGGTGGTGTTTAATGCTGGCACACAGCGGCTTTCAGAAAGTGGCTCTCCTGAGGGCAGCCACCCAGCTCCACCGGCTCCTAAGGATCCCTCTAATTACGCTTAATTACATTGGTCAACCACTGCCTCACGGGGGCCATCCCTCCTTAAGAACGGAGCTGAGCTGAAGCAACCTGACTGGCTCAGAGCGCCCGACGAGGAGCCAGCTGGCCTGATTTGCTGGCTGCCTTTGGCACAGTGCCCTCCTGTTTGCATGGAGATGGCTTTTTAAAGGCAGTGGGGCTCTCAATGCGCCCTAGCTGAGCAATTCACACTGAAAGGTCCATGACAAGCGTCAACGAAAAAGGGTTTTAACACTCAGCTCCAGAAGCTTTTGACCACCAAGGGATTAATTCACTCACATAATGACAGTTGGTAGGAAAATGGCATTATTAAGTGAGCAGGTTTCTGCCTGGGCTAATGGGGAGGGAACATTCCTCTTCTTCTTTTTTTAAAATATATTTTTATTGACTTCAGAGAGAAAGGGAGAAGGAGACCCAGTTGGAAACATCAGAGATGAGAGAGAATCATTGATTGGCTGACTCCTGCATGCCCCCTACTGGGGATCGAGCGCTTGACCTGTGCATGTGCCCTTGATCAGAATCGAACCCCAAGACCTTTCAGGATGACACTCTATCCACTGAACTAAACCAGCCACGGCGGCATTCCTCTTCTTAATGAGAAATTCATATCCATTACCTGCTTTCCGGGTCTTTAGGTCTATCACCACCTGTTGGGGTCAGGCCTCTGGGGGTTGGGGAGTAGGTGCCTATCTATAATACTAAAGTGATTGAAAAGCTGTGTCAAGGCCTGTCTGTCTGTCTTCATCCTGGAGCCCATGCTTAGAACCACGCTTTTGAATCTTTTCAAGGCCCCCTGTCAAAGTGCAAATGCAAACTGCCTGCAACTTACAAATGGGTTGCATTCCAGAAAGTTCTTTTGTGATCTGTTTGCAACTTGGGATAGCAGTTTCCCATAGAGGCGAGATTGTAAATGGCGTTTGGGTTCCCAGGCCAGGCACAGAAAATCTTTTTATCTGATAATGTGCTTGCGGATAGGTTTACAACTGGACCTCGTCACCATGTACACTTTGTTTCTGTGGGAAAATATGCTCGGAGTTCTAGTTTGGGATTCCCGGGAGCGTTCTTTCCTTCCCTGGGGTCAAGAAGGATGGATTGTGGGACAGGGTCATTTGTGAACTCTGAGTTTGCCTGGGAGACACCATCTCCTTGCATCTTCAAGAGAGAAGCTAATTCTCCCAGCAGCCTTTGAAGGATGGAGCAGGCCTGTGATAGGAACTTAGGCTAACTTCACGGCAGAGTTGCCACCGATGCATAGCTCACTGTGGCCTTGTAGGACAGCGGGGCAGAACACTGTGAACGTTTTGGTGGGGAAAACTGGGAATGTAAAGAGCACTGAAGACAAACACTCCTGCTGGTGGTGTGCTCTGCTCACGTGCAAATGCTTGGTCGCTTAGCAGACGATGGGAAGGTTCTGGAATCAGCTGGGGAGAGGATAATGGAACTGAATGCTAGGTTCACTAGGATTTCCGAAGCCCAGAGGAGATTGAGGAAGATCTTAAAATTCCCTCCTGTTTTCTCCGCAGATGACTGGCATACTTGGGGAATGGCTGTACAAACTTGTGTCAGCCCTGCGGACGAGAGAGAGAGAAGCCAATATCGTGGTGGTGGACTGGCTCCCCCTGGCTCACCAGCTTTATGCAGATGCGGTCAATAACACGAAGACAGTGGGACACAGCATCGCCAGGATGCTCGACTGGCTTCAGGTAACTGGGGACAGGAGGGGGTCATCTCTCATGCGTGGCACCTTGAACTCTCTTAAGAAATACAGGTTGGCTGAAACCGGTTTGGCTCAGTGGATAGAACATCAGCCTGTGGACTGAAAGGTCCTAGGTTCGATTCCAGTCAAGGGCATGTATCTTGGTTGTGGGCACATCCCCAGTAGGGGGTGTGCAGGAGGCAGCTGATCGATGTTTCTCTCTCATCGATGTTTCTAACTCTCAATCTCTCTCCCTTCTTCTCTGTAAAAAATCAGTGAAAATATATTTTTAAAAAAAAGAAAAGAAAAAGAAATACAGATTGGATAGCACAGCGACTTCCAGATGTCTGATCAAAATCTTTGGGATTCACATTGTTACTGAATTAAGTATGGCTTGAAATACCCAAAAGCTGGGACTTTCAGAGAGCCTTTTAATTAGTGAGACATATCTGGATTTTCCATGTTATTTTATATCTGCTGGACAAAAGTTTGCCTTATGGGTCATTACTTTCTGATCTCAGAAGTGGATGCCTTCAGGTTGGCTGGGAATGGCCAGGAGGCAGGGCTGGCTGATAATCTTACGAATCTATCCAAGTCTGCTCTTGCCTCTGAAGGTGCCTGTCCTGTGAGTGGGGAGGGCGTTGCTTGCAACTACTGCCTTGCTGAAAATGTTCAGTGTGGAACACAGATCTAAAGATCTTAAAATTCCCTCCGTCTTCTGCCTAGGTTGTTTTGTAGAGCTTGGTTCCAAACTTTGGGGTCAAATCTTCATCTCCTCTTCCCCCATCAGCGAGTGCCCGGTTAGGGTGCGATGTCCCAACTCTGGTGTCCCAGGTGTGGGCTTGTGGAGAGGACCCAGCTCTTGGGGCCGAAGAGGGTGGGCAAGGAGTATGCAGCTGTGGATTGTGGCGGACACTCAGTCCCCAGGGAGTTTGGTGGCTTTGACCTCCACACGGCCACTCTCTTCCCTTAGATGCTTCCAGAAAGAATGAGAAACATGTAGGGGAAGGGTCAGGCATACAGCCTCTAGTCACAACCTACCCTCAGCACTTGGCATGTAAAGCACCTCTTATGTCCTTTTGACCTCCTCTAGCCTGGCTGGGTTCCAGCTGTGTCGCACTGCCCGCCAAGCCAGCCCCTGGACGTCTCTGTCCCAACTCCCGCCCGGGTCTCCTTGTCACGATTCAACCGTTGACATGTTGGTGACTCTGTGGGCTCCACTTTCCGCTCACACACTTGTGTGCCTTCCTACAGGAGAAGGACGGCTTTTCTCTTGGGAATGTGCACCTGATCGGCTACAGCCTCGGAGCTCACGTGGCCGGGTATGCTGGCAACTTCGTGACAGGCACGGTGGGCAGGATCACGGGTAAGCTCTGCCTCCTCCACAAACAGCTGGTCTCCGGTTCTTGCAACTCCTCTGACACGCTGGCTTCTCTGAACCAGAGGGCCCCTCCCTTGGGCAGCACAGAGATCAGCTTCAAAAGAAACCCGAATGACGTCTACTCTAGAGCTTATCAAATGTGCTAGTCAGTCATGGAACCCATTTTTGTTCCAATTGAATCTGTATGGCACCCCAACATATGAAAGCCAGAAGGGATGTCATAGTTGAGGCTGGGTGCATGGAGGGTGGTGTTAGTTTTGCTGTTTAGGCCTTCAGACGAAACCTGCGTCCCAAAGCCCCAGTTTGACCCCGCAGGTGAGGAAAACACCCAGGGGCAAATAGCTAATAACTAAAGGGCAGAAGTGGGGTGGAGTCCTGACCTCCAAGCTGCTGTGGCTCACATCCATCCCCGCCTGTGATATGCTAGGACCTCAAGGGAAAAAGTGAGGGGTGGATTGTAGTTTGGATTCTGCCTCTGATTTCTAGTTTATCGACCAGAGTTTTTGGCTGGCATGTTTATTAGTGATAATGACCTGTTTAGGACGGATGATTAAAACTTTGTCTTTAGCTGAAACCGGTTTGGCTCAGTGGATAGAGCATCAGCCTGCAGACCAAAAGTTCCCAGGTTTGATTCTGGTCAAGGGCATGTGCCTTGGTTGCGGGCACATCCCCAGTAGGGGGTGTGCAAGAGGAAGATGATTGATGATTCTTTCTCATCGATGTTTCTAACTCTCTATCCCTCTCTCTTCCTCTCTGTAAGAAATCAAGAAAATATATTAAAAAAAACCAAAACAAAAAAACCCAACTTTGTCTTTAAAGACACCTTGCTGATATCAGCACCCAGATTGTCAATAGAAAATTGAGCTTTCCATGTTAGTGAGATTTTGATGTGGGCGCTTGGGTTAAATCCTGCAATGACTCTGAAAAGTGGGAAAGATTCTCTTTACCATGTTGGGGCCCCTCTAATACAGACACAGGGCTTGCTCCGGGCTAAAATGAATGGCAAATTCGTTGCCCTGAACTTTTAACCTCCTTCCAACATTCTTTCATTTGTCTTCACTTGCCCCTCATCCCTGCCACAGAAGGAAAGAGTGGATCAATTTCATTTTGAAACAGGACTCAGGTAGAAGGGTGTTCTTAGCTAGAGAGAGATTTAGTAAAGGTGGAGTTTTAGGTTTCAGCAATAAGCTGCTGGATAAAGTTTTAAAAAATGTATTTGTGAGGTTTTAGAGGACCTCTTTATATCATAATCTGGGTTTTAGTCGCATGTTCTTGCATGCGTGCACATGCGCACACACACACTCACACTCCTTTAGATCCAATCATCTGGTTTAGCATACTTTGAGAACTTTACTTTTTATTGCCACGGCCATGGGGCCTGAGCCGTTTAGGTGGGCAGTGATTGTGTGGCCACACATGACTGCTCATTCACCCGCTGAGTACAAAGCGGTTTGACCCTGAGCCCTTCTGGGTCCTAGCGCCTGAGCACCTCCTTTTAGTCTCCGTGCAAAGTGCGATGTCCAGAGCAGGGCCAGCACCCACCAGGCGTCCCCCCCCCCCTTCCCCCCAGAGAGAGTCCTTGGCAACAAGGACAAGTTGCAAAGCCTCCCTGTCCTGGTTTCTAAACCCTAAAGGAGAGGGGCCATGAGGAGCGTCCGGTTTTTCCCTATCTGGGTGGCAGCTACTGAGATAGTAGAATGCTAATCAGTCCTCTGTGGTGTCAGCCTGGGGCACGGGGGGCCACACGTCCTGAGCTCGGCCCCTTCTTCCCGGCCTTTCTCTGTGCAACAGGGGCCGTGGGTGAGCACAACAGGAAGGAGTGGCCTCGGTCCAGTTGCCAAGCAGCCCCTCAGAGGGTATTTGGCTGACTTGACATGCGCTGTTGTGCATGCCTGATAGGGTAGCTGTGCCCTCTCCTCTCCCCTCAGACTTCTTTCTCATGGGCCTGGGAAGCAGGTGGCCCCGACTGGTAAGAGGACCAGAGACTATAGCTGGAGTGGGGTCCTGAGGCCACTGCTGTCGCTGCCCCCACCGTGCAGAAGCCTAGGGCCTGCAGGGGGAGACGGGACTCTCAGTCTTGCGTGGACCAGAGAGCTGTGCATTGGGGTTTGCTTGGGTTTTATCCTCTTAGGCTTTTGAGGGAATTCTGTGATATAATAGATCACATATTCCTAATTGAACCCTTGTCTAGTTTGTTATAAATAAATAAATAAATAAATAAATAAATAAATAAGCAAATAGTATGAATTAAGTGACCACTCTAGGCTCTGGGCTAGATGCTACCTAATGAGTGGCAGGTGCTTCGTGCCATATGTAAGGCACATAGCACCTGGCAAAGGGGGTCCTTTTGGCTCCATTTTATGATGACTCAGGGCTTAAATAATGGGTCCACTATCTTACACTCTAATGAGTGTGTGTGTGGGTGTGTTTGTGCGCGCGTGCGTGCACGTGGGTGTGTGTGGACAGAGCACTTTTGGAGGAGTCAGGCTGCGCGGAAGAAGGGGTGGTTCTCTGTCTGCTCTCTTTTCGGAGGGGATAAGTTCTCCATCCCATTCCTAGTCTAAAAAGCAAATTGTGCAACTTTCCCCCGAGTGTGAGCCTTGGCCCAGTGTCAGGCCGGGCAGTCTGGGTAGGGAAGGCTCAGCCTGGCGGCCAGCAGGCCTGTCGAGAAGCCCTCAGCCGCCCGCATTCCTCCCGCGCAGCTCCGTTTCCATGGCGCTGACCGTCTGGTGGAGATTTTTGTTCACACCAAGCAGAGAGCCCCTCTCTTGTATTGGTTGCAAAGCAGAATGTTCCTTTTTTCCCTTTTTTTCTTCCCTCCAGGAGACAGGGCAGCAGGCAGGGGAGAGGCTGCTAGTGTCAGAACTGCGGTTCTTGCAGCCTTTGAAGCGAGGCATCGTGGGCTCTCTGGGGAGGACACTGCTTTTGTGCCATCTTTCTTTTGGGTCCTGGGCTGGAGTGAGCCCACAGGCAGCCTGGCCTCCCTTTCTCCCTCTGCCTTACCCATGTTTCTCTAAACTTCTGGAAACTATTTAGTTTCAACCTTCACCAGTTCTCATGAGTAATGAGTTCTACAGGTTTACTGTCTGCTCTGGACAATCGCTTTACCTTTTGTTTTTCCTGTAGTTACTCTCTCAAACCTCACAAGGTGCTCCTTTCCCACTGATTTTTAGGGAGAGTGGAAGAGAGAGGGAGAGACAGAAATACTGATGTGAAAGAAACACATCGATTGGTTGCCTCCTGACCAGGGCCCAAGCTGGGGAGGAGCCTGCGACTGCAGTACCTGCCCTTGACCGGAATCAAACCCAGGACCCTTTAGTCCACAGGCTGATGCTCTCTCCACTGAGCCAAACCAGCTAGGGGTGGAACAGTTCTTGACAGTAGGTAGCATCACTTCCTTTTTATGACTGTTTTTGGTCATGTCTCCTCCCTGCCTTGCTTTGGCAATCAGGTTTTCTTAGCCTCCGCTCCATTCAAATGCTTTGCTGTGGAGCTGCCCTGAGCATTGCTGGATGTTTATCAGCTCCCCTGGCCTCTAGCTGCTAGATGCTTAGCAGTGTCTACCCCTCCCCCAACCACACCCCTCCCCCAACGACACCCCTCCCCCAACCACACCCCCAACCACACCCCCCCCAGTTTTGATGACCCAAAATGTCTCCACATGTTGCCAAATGTCCCTTTGGGAGCAAAATCCTTCCCAGTTGAGAACCACTGTTCCAGACTAAACAGACCCCCTTTTTCGGCTGTAAATACTCTTTTTTTAACTTTTCCTCTCTGTGTCTGAAGAGCCTTCTGGGTTGGGATGAATTTGGCACCCATAATTACTTGGGATTCGCAATAGTAGCTAGATTGTACACTGACAAGCACTTAATCTTACATTATCTCACATGGATTGTATAAATTAAGACATTCAGGTTCCATTTTATAGGTGATACTGAAGCATGGCCAAGTTTTTAAAAATCTGGTCCACAGACTACCTACTTTTAGGATCACCTGGAGAATAAATATATATATTTGGGCCCCACACCGGACGTACTAATTAGAATCTCTAGGGGGTAAGGAATCTGCAATGTATAGTTTGCAAATTCTTTTTTCGAATGGCTTTGCATTCACGTGGTTCCAGCATTAAAAGATGGTGACAGTCTCGTGTGGTTGCCACTCCTGCCCAGTTCCCTTCCCTGCCCTCTCCCGCAGCCCACACATACACACAGTAACCAGTGGCTGGTCTGCCCGTCCAGAATGTTCTGTAGCAGCAGAGTGGACTCTGAATTTGTAATGAGCTTCCCAGTGATATTTGCGATCTTCAAATGTGAAGCCAGCTCTCTCCACACGCCAATCGCCTCCCCAGAGTTCACAGGCAAGGCTGTTTTCTCTTAGCAGCTGCAAAACAGAAGAATTCTGGAGGCATGGGGTATAGGTTCTCGGTGTATCTGGTATTCCCACCCACCCTCGCCATTCCACCCCTGGGCCTGGTTCATCACTAAAGGAAAGAGGACCAATGAAGTACAAATATGAATAGCTCAGTGTGGGGGAGACTGAGTCTTCCCTCCAGGAATGGAGGTAGCTCAGTTATTTTGTGAAAAGCCTGCGCCTCTGAGGCTCTCAGTGGCAGAATAACTGGGGTGAACTGCTTAGTTTCAGCAGCCCGAGTTCTTTCTAGAACTGCCCTACTTCTGACAGCCCTGGTGTGTGCCAAGGTGGAGCTTGTGGGCAGTCTACGGAATCGGCTGAGGTGTCAGGGCAGGCGAAGGTGGTGGAAGAAAGCCAAGTTCCCGGGCTGCAGGCATATTGGCTGGGCTCTGAGGACAGCTTCGTTCTGCATCCTCGGGCTTGACTGGGGCACACCTAACACAGTCCGTCTGGGCTTCCCCCCTTCTGCTGTAGGACTGGATCCCGCCGGGCCCCGGTTTGAAAGGGCGGACATCCACAGCAGGCTGTCCCCCGATGACGCGGACTTTGTGGATGTCCTCCACACCTACACGAGTTCCTTCGGCTTGAGCATCGGGATTCAGATGCCCGTCGGCCACATCGACATCTATCCCAACGGGGGCGACTTCCAGCCAGGCTGTGGACTCAACGATGTTTTGGGGTCATTTGCATATGGAAGTGAGTTCCTTATTTTGTGCTTCTTGGGGAGGTTTGACTCAGTTACCCCATCCTCTCCTAAGTCAGCCAAGGCTGCTAGAGACTCAAACTACATTTATTTCATTATTCCCACTTCCCTCCACCATGGCCCTCCAGCTGTCTGCCATTCCTCATCCTACAAGCCTGGGAACAGGCTCCTGTGGCCTCTGTTCTGCCTTCTCATGCTTTGAGAAGGTCCAGTTATTATTGGTCAATTTATTTTTATAACAAAAGGAATACATGTTGGTTGAAGATTTTGCACAGGACTTACTGAGTACCAATTTTGCACAGTACTTGCTGACCGAGTACCAATTTTGCATGGTACTTACTTTGCACAGTACTTACTACCAATTTTGCACAGTACTTACTTTGCACAGTGATTACTGACTGAGCGGGCAGATCATCGAGGAGCGGGTCATTATGCATGCTCTCTATCTCTCCCCCCTCCCCTCAGCGATCGCAGAAGGCATGAAATGTGAGCACCAGCGGGCCATATACCTCTTTGTTGACTCCCTGATGAACGAGGACAAGGCGAGCTTTGCATTCCAGTGCACGGACTCGCACCGCTTCAAAAAGGGGATCTGCCTCAGCTGTCGGAAGCACCGCTGTAACAGCATTGGCTACAACGCCAAGAGAACGAGGCACAAGAGGAACAGCAAGATGTACCTAAAAACCCGGGCGGGCATGCCTTTCCGAGGTAACCTCAGTCCCCACCGCGCCCTGAGGACTGGTCCCCCTCCTTCCAAACACCACAAGGAACAGGGCACATCTCAGCCGGGAGACGTGGCCCGCTACAGTTAAATGAAACCATTACAAATCGTGTTGTGTTGTGCGTGCCGTAGGAAAGCTGATCTAAAAACAAATGGTGGGGACTCCTTTTGCGATGTGAATCATCACTTCGTGATCAGGGTGTTAATATCTTAAATCCCCCCTTCATTTAACTTTTCAAAGCTGTTCCTATTTGATTATCACAACAAATCTGAGGTAGGATCAACAGGGTTCAAAAGGATATCTTGCCTTTTTATAACATGTTATAAAACCATAAAGTTTTGTGGGAATCGTGGGCATTACTTACATATGAGGAAATTGAGGCTCAAAGAGCCTTGGACCTAAATTCAAGGCTATGCAATAGGAAAGTAGCTGGGCCAGAATCACCAAAAGGTCTCCTGCACCCCCAGTTTAGAGCTCCTTCTTCTCTCCCTCTTACGCCATTGGACAGAATGAGACCAGAGAGAAGCCGGAGGCTGGGCTGGGCCCAAAGGGTGACAGTCCCTAAAAGCCCAGTGACAGATGACTCAGTTTGGGACAGGTTGCCCTGGGATGACAATGGAGGCTCACACCCGTCTTTGTTCTGCTGTCTCTGCAGTTTATCATTACCAGATGAAAATCCATTTCTTCAGCTACAAGAACATGACAGAAATCGAGCCCAACTTTTATGTCACCCTTTACGGCACCAGTGCAGACTCGCAGATGCTGCCATTGGAAGTGTAAGTCCCAAGTTGCCTCTGCTGGAGTGAGGACAAGTTGGTGTGAGAATGAGAGAGCGCAGGAGTGTGTGGACCACGGAGAGGGGTGTGGCCTGAGGGCTGGGTGGTTCCTGAGGCCTCTGCAGTCCTCTGTCTCTCTGTCTGCTCTCCACCACCGAGCCCCTGACACACAATGTTTCTGGGAGAGAAGCTCCCGGGGTTCATCAGCAGCGTGAGAAGCTGCTGGATCCGCTGGGCAGAAAGTGCTCTTTCCTTTCAGACAGCGCCTGACATCGGAGGCATTAGGAAATTTGGACCATTTCTAGTTACCTGTGGGCGGGGACACAGCAATCTGTGTATATTTGTTGAGTACTCATAAGGCACAAGGCGTTGTCCAAGTAGTGACTATCAGGGCTCAGGGTCTAGTTGGGAGACAGATTTGTATGCACTTAGTCACACACACAAATGGGGTAAGGCAGGTTTCCCCAAATGTCTAATGGGAGGGATGGGCTGGAGGGGGCTGGGAGTTTCCCAGGAGACAGATGCCTGTGGGCAGAGAGGAAGAGGATGCTGATGAGTGGGGATGTGACTTCTCTCTGCTTTCTCATTTCTGTTCTTTCTTGGACCTATGCCTCTAGGAAGTAGAATAAATAGGGAGGTACTCAGGAATGTTTGATAAAAATCTGGGGTGCAGTGGGCAAAGTTATCCTTATGTCAGCGTGGAGACAGTGAGCTTCCACCGTAGTGATGCCAGTGAAGCTGGAGGACCTGGGGGAGCGCCCTCTCCTTGTTTCTCTCCTGTCCATGTGGGGCAGGTCCTGCCAGGGCATCACCCCACAGATGTGGCAGTTTTCCAACTGGCTGGGGAGTGAGACCAACTTTTCTCCCCGTTTGTAGAGTGGAGCAGATCAGGCTGAATGCCACCAACACCTTCCTGGTCTACACAGAGGAGGACTTGGGAGACCTCTTGCAGATCAGACTCACCTGGAAACGGGTACCTCAGTCCTGGTACACCCTGTGGACCAACTTTCGCAGCTACCTATCTCAATCCCGGAAGTCTGAGCAGGAAGTGAATATCAGGCGCATCCGGGTCAAGTCTGGGGAAACCCAGCGGAAGTAAGTGCCTCATGACCCTTTTTGGCCCTTGTCAGTTGTATGCACAAGGTGTGCGCCTCGGCTGTGCTCTCTCCTTTTGCTAAGCAAGCACCTTCAGTCCTTTCATATCCAGAACATGGGGGCAAAACCTCAAACACATTTGCAAGGGAAAGTGAAGTCCAGATCAAGTCCTCTGTCAACGTTTGGTCCCTGATCACAGGCCCTTGGCTGAGAGGGGTGCGCAAGTGGGGGCTGTAATACAGCCCTTGTTCTTTTGGCCCAGAGGAAGCAGGGCTGCCCTCTGATAGGGCTTTTCAGGAGTGCTGCTTGCTAACTGTGTGCTCTGAGGTCCACCACAAGTCTTTGCTTGCTCCTGTGTGGAACAAACCACAGTATCAAGTACAGGGAGCCCCAGGATGAGGTCTCTGGTGGGACCTGGTTTTCCAAGCATCCTCTTTTCAGAACATCAGACCTCTCCTTTCGAGGCTGTGAGTCAAGGACACGGGGTAGGGTCCTGGTATCAAGTAGAAGAGAATCCTGTATGCTAGGCCAGCTGGCAGCTTCCATGCCCCTGTAACCCCAAGACTAGCATGAAAAATCCAGACCTTCATCTGTCACTGCCTTCACCTGTGCCTTGGCCCCCTGAGCAGCTTCTTTCTAAGAAGAAGCCAGAGTGTTGGGGATGACCTTGGTTAAATCCTTCAGCAGACCTTTGGGAGGTTATGGTCAGCCTTACGGTGGTTGGAAACAGCCTCTGCCCCCTTTGTACCTCATTTGGCATTTTCTCCATTACACTCTTCATATGCCCTGTGTGCACTCATCGCCACTAGCACAGGTTGGCCATTAGAGAATCAGAGGTGCACATGTGTGAGGGCTTCTTTGGGGATTGAATACTGAAAAAGTGGAATTTCAAAGTTATAGTACACATCTTCACTTGACTAGATATTATCAATTTCCTGCCCCAAGTGGTTGGACCAATTTTCAATCTTAGCCACAGAATAAGAGTTCCCCTTTCCCCTCCCGCTCACGTATATTTGGTGAGACATTCTTGCTACCCTGTTGGGTATGAATTGGTCCCCTACTCTTGTTTTAATTATTTTTCTGATTATGATAAGGCTAGCCATCTTTTTATAGGTTCATGTGCTGTTTGGGTTTCCTGGTAAAGGTTCTTAAAGCTGTTCTGATTGTGGCTTTTGTCCTGCAGGTGATTATCAGGGTCAGGTGTCCCTCTCATCTATTGGTCATGGGATCATGCTACTCACACACTTCTGTGATGGGGTGGGGATAGGCCAAATGATTTGGCTGTCAATTAGAGTTGAAATGGTTGTTAGAACCCTGATTCTACCTGGGATCTGTTGTCCACTTCCTGAATCTTTGTTTTAACTCACAGCTGAGTCCAGCCATGCTCCTTGATGTATATTTAAGAGATCTGTACTGGAGGCACCTTGAGTTCCTTTATTCAAGGAGACTACAGTCCACCATAGATACAGGAATCCACAAGCAATTCAAGGCAGTGCATAACGTGTTAAATAAGAGGAAATATCTGTTATTAACACCATGCCATTAGATATAACAATAACAAAAGCTAACATTTTTGTAAGGACATGCTTTCCTATTAAATAGGGAGATCAGGGTCTCAGGCAGTCAGGGAGGCTTCCGAGAGTCAGGCAATCTTTGGAACAGACAGAGAGAACAATGTGGAAGAGGTGTGATTGAAGGCTGCATGAGCCAAATCATGAGGCACCTCAAGGTGAAACCGGTTTGGCCTGCTTGCAGTTGCAGTAGGGTGTTCTGAAGGCCCTTGAGTGAGGGTGCAGCATGATGAAAACTTCTCTTTCCCCTTTGCTCCATCCACCTTGGATCCAGAAAGCACCATCTGGCTAATGCACAGCCACATGCCTTCCCCTGTAGAGCTTTGCTTAACTTGGGGGTTTCTTTTTCCTCCTAGATTTGCTTTTTGTGTGAAAGACCCTGAGAACACCAGCATAGCCCCTGGCCAGGAGCTCTGGTTTCACAAGTGTCTGGATAGCCGGAGAATACAAGATGGAATAAGGTAACTGGGACTTTCTCCTATGTTTATGCAGCACATGCTGACTGCTCACGCAGCTCGTGTGGACATGGGGCTGGGTACCAGGTTGGAGAATCGAAGAAAGGTGATATCTCAAGGTGTGAGGCAGTGGGCATCCACAAGGGGAATTTGTCACGTGTCCTCTGAGTCTAAACACTTGCTGAAGAGGAGGGAGACCAGCCCTACCACCAATCTCTACCTCTTGCCCCAACCAAGATGCTAGATAATAATTTTACTGCCATATGCTGAGCACACACATGTGCCCACCTCGAGTTCAGTGCCTTCACTCATTTTTATCATCAACCCCAGGACGTTGGTGTTGTTAACCCTGTGCTCAGGTGGGGAATCTGAAGCTTGGGGAGTTCAGGGTAAACTCTTTCCAGGTCCTCCAGCTGGTCACAGTGGAGCAAGGATTGAGGCAGATTGGTTTGCTCAAGCCTAGGCCTTTTCTTGCTCAGATAAACCACCACACCTTGATCTGGCTATCAATGGTCAAGCAGCTGCCCCCATGCCGGGTCCCCTGTGATGAGCTGTCTGCCATCCTGAGGGCTGGGCTGCAGGCCAGCTGCTCTGTCTCCTATTACAGAGCATCAGTGATCACAGGACTGTGGGATTCTGAAACTGCCCATCTAATTAAGTGACTCGGTCTAGGCTCACGCAAGCACCTGGTTCCTTTCAGGCAAACTGTGGAGCTTCCCTGAGGGTGCCAGCAGGCCCCGCCCCTGCCCCCCGCCTACCAAGCACATGGAGGAAAGTTACTGCTGAGGACCCACCTGATGGAAGGATCCCCTTCGGCCTTGACCCTGGAGCACAGGGAAGAACCTGATTGCTGGTCCAGGGCCTTGCCTCCCGTGACAACTGGGACTTCTCGCCAGAGGGGACTGTGTGCTGCTCTTCCTGCTGCTGCTGCCCTAGAACAGCTCTAAGGCCAGATCTGTGTGCAAACATCCAAATGCTTGGGCCTCTTGCGCATGCCCGGCTGGCTGCTAAGTGACTAGATGGGCCTGTGCTTTGCCTGGCAAGGAGCACTGGCTGTCAGTGTGTGGCCTGACATGCGTCGTAGTGACAGGCCTTCCCGCTAGGAGCTGACCTGTCAGGATGGCAGACCTGTGTCATGTTCACCCAGAGACAGTTGATCTGGGGTGATGCTGAGGCCCTCGATGCTGGGGTTCAACGAGCTGCATCGATCAATGTCGGTTACTTCTTCGACATTCTGTCCTGTTCCTTAACTCACTCTCTAAAGCACACATCATTGGCTTTCTTATTTTTCTATTGCTCTTTTTTTTTTTTAATCGGATAAATGTTTATTAAGCACTTAACCTTAATGGAGTTGGGATTTGTAGACTCTCTTAAAGTTTAATGGTCCACGAATAAACATATGATGAAGGCACAAGGGGCATTGGGGATGGGCTAGAGGATAGAAGAATTGGGAACCCTGGGGTTTTCAGTGGTTTCTACCCATTTCTTCTTAGTTGACATGTGCATTCCCCCTGAGAGTGATATGTTTGATCACTAGCAGAGTAGCAAGCAGGGCGCCATATGTGTTGGGGTCGGAATGGTGGCCAACTACCAGAGATGATTGCTTTGGAGCAAAATCTCTTTTGTTGAGGGAGGTAGAAGGCATTGCATATGTTATACATATCTGTTTGTCCAGAGCCATTACCTGTGAAACAGCTGGTGCTAAGATTTAACACATTGTTTTTCTTGCTTAGAAATACCTTGCTCTATTACCAGCCCCCTTTCTGTTGAGTTTCTTAGAAAAGCCTCTAATTCTTCATTTGAATTAATATACATGAAATTCAAGGGACCCATTTTTACTTTCCAAAAGATTTTCTTGTGGGTCACCTAATTAGAGATTAACAACAGGAGGTGACCCTGTTGACAATTAACAACAGGGAAGCCATTATTAACTCTATATGAAATGAGGCTCTGAGGTTCAGCCACGTGTCTAGAATTATATACCATGTTGATGATGGGGGCCAGGCAAGGACCCAGATTTCTTAGAGGCAAAGTCCATGGTGTGTTGATCTCTACAAATTCATCAAGACATTTATAGCCATTTCTCTCCAATCGGCCCCAGATGTGGCTAACAAGGAATATTTCTCAGAGCCATTCATAAAGCCCAAGCCCTTTTATTAATCTGTAACCAGGAAAACAAATCTGTGCCAAGGGGTGGGGCTTTTTATGGATGAGATTTATTTGGAAGGAGATATGATATCAGGTGGGGGAGGAAAGAGTGGATTTTTTTTTTTTTTTTTTTTTTTTTGTACTTAGTAGGTTTTTAAAGGACACTGTTTTAACCTGTCTTGTGCCAAAGTTGTATCTCTGTTCAATGCCAAACTTCAAAGACATAATCCTTCAAGTCCCAAGTTAAGGTGTTGTCTCCATCCAACCGTGTGCTTCTTCTGTTGTTTCCGTCATTGCTTTCTAGCCAAAGTGGAGCTTGTATTACTGACTATGCCTCCTGGTTACCTCTGACTTGTTTTTACTGATGGAATCCTTAGCAATTGAATCCTCGGTGGGTCCTATATTTATACATTTGGCTTGAAGACTTATTTGTATATGATGATGCTTTTTTTTAATGCTATGCAGAACATTATTTATTTTTTAAGTTTATGTAATGTATAAAAACAAAAATATGGTTAGTTTTTTCATTAAGATTAACTAATTTCAAGACTAAAATTTGTAATAGTAAAGTAATAAAAATCTACAGAATTCTTAGTGGTGTGGCAACTCGGTTCTTAAAAGTTGAGAGACTTGCCAAGGCCGGTTTGGCTCAGCGGTAGAGCATTGGTCTGCTGACTAAAGGGTCCCAGGTTCGATTCCGGTCAAGGGCATGTACATTGGTTGCGGGCACATCCCCGATAGGGGGTGTGCAGGAGGCAGCTGGTCGATGTTTCTCTCTCATCGACATTTCTAGCTCTCTATCTATCTCTCTCTCTTCCTCTCTGTAAAAAATCAATAAAATATATATATTAAAAAAAAAAAAGTCGAGAGACTTATGGATGCTCGATCCTAGGGTTTGATAAAAAATTACTTTAACATAAGATATAGTCTCCATTTGGTATTAATTATTGGTAGGAAGTGGACAACAACTCCTTTCACCAAGCACAAGGAGAAAAAGGATTTGGATCACAGTAGAAATGCCTGAAGGTGGATGTTAGGAAGAAGATGGACATTGGAGAACATTAGTGAGGATATAGGTTTGATTGCATGGGACCTAGATTATAGGGGCTTAGACCAGATAGAAGTTGATCTTTCTATCATTTTTAACTCCAAGCTGGTATTGAAGTTATACTCCATTAAGCCAAGAGAGACCTAGGCTGTCTTTTATAACTGGGTTTATAACTGGGGATAGGCTATCCTTAAAAAAAAAAAAAAAGATTAATAAGTAAATAAAAGAAATAAGAGTAAAATGAATATAAACCAGGGTTCAAGTCATGTTTTTCCCCCCTAAACATCTGTGGTTAGCAATACCGTTTAACCTTGACTTTATATCATACCAATGCATGTATGTGTTGTGGTGCAAACGGGCTGCTGGAAATGTCTGGAAGCTGGGACAGGTCTAAGCAAGGAAGGACCCAAGTGTAGATGTCAGCTGCAGCAAGGAGCAGAGTTATCTGGACCAGAGCTATCATCTCAGCCTAAAGGAAGCCACACTCTACCTCTTTTATCTTCCACAGGAGGTGGGTGATCACGGTCAAATGCCACATAGGAGCTTTATAAGTGTTGAGGCCAGAAACAGAGGCTGGGATTATCTCACTGGCGTGGAGACACTAAGACTACACTTTAGAATAAAAGAAATATTGACTTCTGCCCTGATCATTATCCCAAGACAACTTCAGTGAGGTTGTTGCAAAGCCTATACCTCAACTATTTATTGGGAGGGAGAGCATTCTCTCACCACTTCAACAACTCATCCTCCTTTTCCTGTCAGGGATACCAGTCCTACTTCCTTCTGTCCAGGCTACCCCAACCTCTCTGGCTGGCCCAAAAGAGAATCGCAGAAGTAGAAGAATCTCAGAAGTGTGGCTTCACCCCACAGTTCATTTCCCTGGTGACCACACCACAGATGTCTCTCCCTCCTTCAAGGCTTCTTCATTAGTAGTTCTTCCTCTTCTCTTTCTTTCAACCCCTCCCTTTCCTCCTCCGCCCCCTTCTCCTTTTCCTCTTTCTCCTCCTCTTCTTCACTAAACAGTTTTATTGTGGTTTAATGGACACAATACACACAGATGTAAATCATACAATTTGATGTTTTGATATGTGAATTCATCATGAAACTGTGAAATCATTACCATGGTCAAGATAGTGAACATGTCACTCACCTCTAGAAGTTTCCTCATGCCCCTGTGTGGTCCTACCTGCTGCCCTCTCTTCAGGCAATCACCAACCTGCTCTCTGATGCTATAGATGAGCTGGAGTTTCCTAGAATTGTAAGTAAAATGTATGAATGGTATGTTCTCTTTTCCTCCCCACCTTTCACACAGCATAATTATTTTAAAATGGATCTATGTTTTCGCATGTACTAGTAGTTCATTCCTTTCTACTGCTGAGTGGTACTCCCTGTATGGATACATTGCTAACTGTCTAGCCAGGCATTTTGAGTTTTCTACTTACATTTGTGACTTTATTTCTAGACTCTGTTTTACTGATCTATTTTTCTATTTTGATGTCAATACCACAGTCTCTTGATACTGCTGCTTTGTAAGTCTTGATATTGGACACTGATAGTTTTTAACCATGATTTTCCCCCCCTACAGTTGTTTTAGCTATTCTAGGTCATTTGCATTTTCAGATGAATTTTAGAATCAGCTTTTCAAGTTCTATAGAAAATCTGCTAAGATTTTTTTTTTTTTTTTAGGGATTGCACTGAATTTATAGATCTGTTTGAGGAGAATTAATATCTTCATATTGAGTTTTTCAACCTATCTTCATCAATTTTTAATTCCAATTCTTTTTGCACCAAATTTGTTAATTTACTGTTTGACTTTCTACTGACAAAATGATTTCTTTAGGGAGTTGTACGGCTTACTCTCTCTGAATACATGAAAAATATTTTAGGATAGAACAAGTTTAAGAAAATACACAATTATTTATTTATGACATTTTTTAAAATGTAAAATTTGAACACTAAAAAAAAGCCAAGATACCACTTTATTTTATTTTATTTTAAATATATTTTTTATTGATTTTTTACAGAGAGGAAGGGAAAGGGATAGAGAGTTAGAAACATCGATGAGAGAGAGTCATCAATCAGCTACCTCTTGCACACCCCCTACTGGGGATGTGCCCGCAACCAAGGTACATGCCCTTGACTGGAATCGAACCCGGGACCTTTCAGTCCCCAAGCCGACGCTCTATCCATTGAGCCAAACCGGTTTCGGCACCAAGATACCACTTTAGATAGATATGCAGTGGGCATGTGGAGGGCCACCCAAATGCCTCCTTCAGCACAGACCCTCATTCCACAGCTGCATGTTGGCAATTGAGGGCTCTCATCTGAATCTCTCTTCAGGAATTGTTTTCAGCCAACCAAGAGGTTCAAGGTCACAGCCCCCCTACTCCACACCAGGGCAGTATACATCCAAGCCCTACCTCCTTATCTTCAGGACAACTCTGAAGAGCCATAGTAGATGGTGGGATCAGCGGAGGTCCCTGTTGCATTATAGCTCAACTCTTACCCTACTCAGAACTTCTGCCT